AATTAACAATAGAAAATTCATGAATCTTCTGTATTTCTCTTAGATTTTTTTTTTTTTTTAGTTTGGTGTAAATTGTTTCTTGCCCTGATATTTTTTATCAGAAGTTAAGGAAAAAAAATAATGAAATCAAGTGTTTTGTGAAGCACAAATGACAATATAATGAAAAGTGAGACATGGAGTGGGATAGGAATGTGAGATAGGGGATCTTTCGCAGATAAAATGGTTCCCAAAAGATCGCAACGGATCTTCTGTCCCACGTCCTGTGTCACTCTCTGTCCCACTTTTTATTATATTGCTATTTCTCCTTCACAAACATCATGTTTTAATTCCTTATGATCCAATAACTATTAATTGAGTAATACACAAAATGTAACAAACTCAAAAAATCAAAATGCATAAAAAATGAGATTTTTTATGAATTTTCTGCTGTATTTTTTAATTTTCTATTATATATTAGTTTTTTGAAGCTATTGTATTTATTTTTTACTTAATTAATAGTTATTGGATCATAAGGAAATAAAAAGGAATTAAAACATGATGTTTGTGAAGGAGAAATAGCAATATAATAAAAAGTGGGACAGAGAGTGGCACAGGACGTGGGACAGAAGATCTGTTGCGCCAAAAGATCGTGTCCAAGATTTAGTTAAGAAGTTTATAATGCAATTGAGGTGCGTATCAATTAATACAAATTTTTTTTCATATACGACAAATTTTTGCAATATAAAAAAGTTGATGGGACAATGTGGAGATATCAATATTTACCTGGCTTCATTATGAACGGTTTAGATTTCTCGTCCCCAACTTGCACTTGGACCGGAATAAAGATATCCATCCTGCTTCTTTTGTGACTTTGTCGTGTAATTGGCCCTGATCATTCGAGGTGCCAATTCTGGCTGTTGGCTATTGCACCCGTTAATATATATAATAGTTACCACAGGCAAAAATGTCAACGGTTATTACGTTTAAAAACAATCTTTGAATGGACGACGGCATTTGTCATACTCATCTATGGCTAAAGTCGTCTACTTGTTTTGTTAAGCTGATCAAACCTTTATATAAAGTACAAACTGCCCTGTACAACCCGCCCTTGCTCTTTTTTTTTTTTTTTTTTTTTTTTTCTTTTTCCCTTCTCGCCTAACTCTCAAATTTTAACTGAAAATTGAAGAAGAAGAAGCTGGACAGAAAAGATGAAGCTGATTTGGTGTCCTGAAATATCAGCAAAAGCTTATATTGACACTGTGAAATTCGTAAGCTATATATACAGTATTGACATGGAATGTAGCGTCAACTCCGTTCAATTTTATGTATTACATATTTTCCTCAGTTTCTAAAACTTTAGATCAGCTTCCGAAACTCAATTAGCTCAGGCTGTAATTTTGAATCAGTGGTGAGTAGTCAACTGTATTTGGAGGAAAAAGGAATAAATTTAGCTACATGTAGTCGTTTCTTGAATCGTGATTCTTGACTACGATTAGCGATTTATGTTGTCTTTTTTTTTTTCATATATATATATATATATATAATTAATTTGTAATATTGCAGTGTGGCCTTTCCATGGAATCCAGCGCTCCAGAGTTGATATCTGCAATGGCCGGTGGATGGAACGCGAAGCTAATCGTCGAAGCGTGGACTACTGGTGGCGCTGCACCAAAAAATAGCATCGGTCTTGCAATCGCCGCTCGTCACTCCGGTGGAAGGCACGTATGCATTGTAGCTGATGAAAAGTCAAGACAAGAATATACTTGCGCCATGCAAAACAGGCCTGCAGGCATAGCATTACCGGAAGTCATGGTTGGAGAGGCCGAGGAGTTGATGGGAAGGCTAACTGGTATTGATTTTCTGGTTGTTGATGGCCATTGCAAGGATTTTACCAGGGTCTTCAGTTTTGCCAAGTTTAGCCATCTTGGTGCAGTTTTAGTATGTAAAAATGCTAGTAGAAAGACCTTTTCCTGTTCAGATGGAATAAGGTTCTTGATAGTGCGGTCAGCGTCGTGAATTCAAGAAATCTGCCAATTGGGAATGGAATTGATGTCGCATATGTTGCAGGTGAAAAACGATGCTCAGGGAAAGTCACCAAAGGTTGGATCACGCACATGGATCAGCAGTCCGGAGAGGAGCATGTTTTCCGCAGATAAGACAGGACAGGCGATTTTAATCATCTTAGTAGTCGTATTTAGTTGGCTTAATCATATATCCATGTAAACTTCCTTGATCAGGCACTTGAGAAGATGGTGGAGACTGTGATGGTGCTTGAAACAGCTTCTGATAGTAATAAACCCTGTGCTTTGCCGTGCGGCATCTATCGCATGCAGCAATATCATCTAAGAACGTCTAAAACACTTTTATGTGTGTGTGTGTGTGTCAGACTCATACACGGTTCAGTATTAATGCAACACAATTATCTACAGCAACAATATACTGTGCTGTACAGTATTTTGAACCATCATGGATGGAGGACTTCGATCTGGACTTCAACAACTTTAATGGGGAACAAAATGGATATCATGCATGGATTTAGACCACTTTTCCTCTGCATTCTCGATGGCAAAAACTGTAGATTTTATCTTTTGTTTACTGTAAATTGGATCTTAGTAGTGTTATATATTGGTTTTTTTTTTGCACCTCATTCCCAAAATTCACAATTTCAATTGGAGAAGATTTTAGAAACTGAAATGAAAATTTCACAAATTCACAATTTGTTTAGTCATAGTTGCAAAAACTACCCTTGAGGTTTCTGATCATTTCACTCGCAGAACCTAAGGTTTTAAATATTACATTTGACCTAATTTCCTGTTGTGAGTTTCAGCGTAGCAAAGTCAACACCTCTACATAAAAATCATATAAAACGCTAAAAAAAACTTTTATTCCTGAATGACCCTTTTATTGCTGATGCAAAATTAGTACAACAATTTAATTAAAATTTGTATTCAAAATGCCTTTGCCTAATATAAAACTTTAGAACATCTAAAAATAAAATGTCTTCAATTACCTATGCGCAGACTTTGGCATCTTGAACGAGTATTTCCAAATATCAAGATTTATTTATTTTGCAATTCTCTCAATAGCATCATTAGAAACTACCTCCTCTACACCACTTGCAACTTGACATAGAAAATTTCTCAAGATAACGTTTCCTTCTTTTCTGCTGCATTTTCAACTTGTTATGGTATTAATCTTTGATGTGTTACGTAAGGCTGATTTTGAAAAGTACGCAGTACATTGGGAATGAAAATCAAAGTCATTCTCAAGCTTGGCAACTAGACGGGACCGTGCAGTAAATTAATTTAACTAACAGCAAGAAAGAGATAAGGCACCAATTTTTCCTAGTTAGACCATTGAAAAAAGCCTCTTGTATGCAAACATCAACGTGTAAAACACCCTTCATTAGTCCTGATGTGATAGGTTGTTGGCCTGTGCAATAATAAAACCTGTTCAAACTAAAGTTAATTTCTGTAGATAGTGGTAAGCAGGGTCGAATTCACAGGAACTGGGAGTAATTGTTTCTTTTTAAATTCACAGTGACAAGGGGGTGTTTTTATTTCAGGGGTGACAATTTAAGCAATCCAACTAAAAGTAAAATAATAAAAATAAAATAGCCAACTAGAAATTAAATAACAATTTACTAAAATCAGAGGGTCTAGCTAAGGAATAACTTCAGCAATGGTTCACCTAATTGATTATCGACACAAAGCCAATTACAATTATTTACCAATAAATAGGTTATAACTGCCAAACAAGCGATGACAGTCAACCGCTTCTTACTGTGTCGGTGATTAAGGTACGCCCGTTAATCACTGCTCTAATTGAGAAATAATCCTAGGTACGCCCGTAGAATTTAATTCCCCAATTGCCTTACGTATTAGAGAAGCCCTATTCTAATCAAATAACGCACTACCAGGGTTATTTTAGATTAGCCCGCGTATTCCCCTGACACAAACCCAATCATGCCAGTTATCACTATTTTGAGACAATTAAACAATTACGGATTTAACGTCCCCAATTGATAATAGATTATCAAATTAATTAATTATCCGGATCCAAAACAATCAATTAATTAAATAACCGTGAGTATAGAAATCAGGAAATATGCGGATACCAATAAATAAAAGGGCACAATTTTAGGCATCCCAAAGCATCCATTGTCCCTTGACTAGAAAAAAGGGTTTAACTTATTATTGATGAGAAAAACCCATACAAAACTGAAGCGATAGTTGCGGCCATTATGTGGTAGGAGGAATTCACTACAGACCGCAAGGAAAAATCAAACGAAAAAGCTACAGGGGAAATAATTCAATGCTTCAATGGCTCCTGACATCCGAGAGGCAACTACTACTAAGAAGCAAAGGAAGGAAAAGTCAAAGGTGAAAGCTAAGCTACGGGACGAAAGGCTAAGGAAGCCAGCCGTCCTCAGTCCTCTGCTGCTCTTGCCTTGTGCGGCGGCTCCCCAAGGGAAAGGAACAACTCCCTTTCGGTTTAGCCGTTCCAAAATAAAGGGCAAAAGATCTTTTTTTCTTTGCCAACACTGCCCTTGGACTAAGCTATGTGACTTGGGCTTCTTTTTCCTATAAATTGGCACTTGTTATTGTATTTTCATTCTATTTCCTAAAATAAATGTAAACTACGAAAAATGAGTAAAATCTAATAATTAATCTACATCAGGTCAGATATTAGAAAAAATTAATAATAAAATAAATGACAAAATCGCACCCTATCATGATGGCTGATAGTTATTCATTAACTTCGCGTTATCAAGAAAGATACATCAAGATTCCAGACATGGTATAAACTTATTAGTCTTAATATCATAATGAAATGTTGATGTAGGCAATTAATTAAACGTCAAAAAACATCAAAGCGTGGATTGAAATCAAATTAAAGGAGCTGATAGTTTTACATGACTCTGAGATCCTCTAATATATTTCCCGAGTCATTCTCTCCTGCTTGATCATCACCAGGGACTATTTACAGTCGACGTTAAAGATGACCTGTAAAGAAGCTATCTAAGCCGCAATTCGGTCATGATAGTGGTGGAAGGTGGTTCTGTAAACGTGTTCCTCACCAGTGATTTTGTCAACTTTCACCACCCAATTGCCTTTCTTTCCAGCCCCACGAAACTTTTCAGCCGGTGATGATGAAGATGATGGTAATCTAGTCACCAATAAACCACCTCCAATAGGTAGCAGATGAGCTTTCAAACTATCTATCCATGGTTCACAATGAATGGCGTTGTAACCTACAAGACATGCTTTCTTCTGATGCAAACACTCTTGTGCTGCTAGTAAAATTGATTCGTGCCCATCCATTTTGCAATCAACGAGCACAAAATCGGCATCTTGATATTCATTTAGCAATAAAGACCGTGCATCCCCTACAACAAGCCCAATAAATTCAGCATAACATCCTAGAGCTTTTCTTGAAGCGTGCAACTCCTCGAGCCCTGGTAAAATACAGACTGCGCAGCCGCCGGTTTCGCGTGCTGCAGCACCTAAAGCTAGTGCTGTGGATCCGGCACTGCCTGCACAAACCATAACCATGAGTTGTGAATTGTTGCCTGCAGCAAGGGCTGCAATGTACTCTGAAACATTAGGCTCCTTCCCCCTTTTGCCCTGAAATGTTAAAGACCACTAGTAAGTATACAAAGACAATGAAGTTACAAGTCATCACAAATTCAAAGCTTCAAATGGCTTACCATCTTAAGGGTTTGGAGATAAGCTTTTGTTGCATGTTCAGCAGACCAAGAAGCCATTGCTTTGTCTAGAGCTCTACTTAGTTTAGTAATGTTTTGTTACAAATTGAGGTGCTTCTAGGATCACATATATATATGAAGGAACATGAAGGAGACAGGGATGAACCTCTACACCTGCTACAATAAGCAGTGAAGAGTAATTAATTATTTTTGCATGGGGAAGCAAGCATCTAAGGAAGGTTTTACTTAGAAAGATTCTGCAATGCCAACTGGCAGTAGCTTTTAAAGAGATTTAAAAACTCAATGCAAGATTAGATCCCGGGCTAAGTTGAATTATTTTATTTGTTTGTCTAATATTCCCTAGTAAAATATAGTATGGGTATAGGTTTGTTTAAACTCAATGCAAACATTTATTCTACCTCTTCACCTTTTTTTTTTTTTTTTGGGTATAGGTTTGTTTGGAATTGGAAAGGCATTTACAAAAATCATGCCGTCCGAGCCAGAAGAAAAACTTCACAAGTTTTCTTTTACGTTCCATTTACATGTATAATACTATAGTTCCACTTAATTAATGATTTTGCTAGGTCGCAACAAATATGTACAAGAACATCTAAGCATGGAAAACTAGTTTCAAGAAACAAATATGTACACATATAGAAGCATAATTAACTATCTAAAAGAGAGAGAGAGAGAAAGAGAGAGAGAGCAGAGATTGAGAAATATTCTATTCTTTTTTCAACTAATACCTTTAACATTTTTTTAAAATATCCTACCCAATATAGGGGACTGGTTTTCAAGCATTCAAGATTTCATTCAAAAAAGGGTTTTTTCCCCTTTCCTTAAAAAAGTAAAAGAAAGAAAAAGAAGAAGAAGATTGCTGCTTTGTTATTTTCGGATTAGAAAAAAAATTCACTAATGGTTTCGTGCAGTCTTAAACTCTTCTAAGGCATATGTACAAAACTGTTGGCTGTCTAAACATTTAGTTTCCGGAAGAGCAATCTTAACATTTATTACACACAAAAAATTCTGATCTCGATGCATCTCACAAAAAGATATTCACATATTAGCTGTACTGTTCTGAATTCAGCAAACCGTAGCGTTTATACTACCATCAAAATGGAAAGATCGTGAATGAACTTTCGGCACCGTTTCCCCTTCGACAAGTTATGCAATGTTCATGTTCATTCCGGCAGAAGCCAACATGCTTGGATCCTGGTTTAGTTTATGTGGTTGTCCACGTGAATACTCTTTTGTTTACAAGTTGAAGAATCTTTGACATTTTAGTCATGGGGTTAAAAACAAAAAAAAGCGTTATGTGTTATACCTAATGCACGGAAAAATTTTTCGTAGTTTCAAAACATACAAAACGACATCTTATATTTTGAACTAAATTGTAAACTAACAGAATTCGATAAATTTAATGAAAATGACGGTTTGAGCTATTAAATTTACCGGATTCAGTTATGTTTTCTATTAAACTTACCGGATTCCATTAAATTTATCCGATTCTATCAGTTTTATAATTTAATTCAAAACATGTGGTATCGTTTTATACTTTTGAAATCATGGGGACTTTCCTATATATTAGGTATATTACAGGGATTTTTTTGTTTTTAACCCTTTAGTCATGCTATCATAATAAAGGGGAGGAAGGTGCAGATGTGCAAATGGACCGTCCATTGCAGTCCACTTGAGTACTAATTTGCTTGTGTCCGCTCTTCTGCGATTCAAAACTACAATTTGAGTATTTTTTTTTTCCCTAGCTTATTTTCTTCACGAATAAAGCCCGTGAACTATCAAGAATCTGGTGATGGTTCAAAATAAGATGTTTTCAGAATAAATCAAATAATACTTGAAACAATGTCATATCTTAAGAGCGGCACCCATAAGTACACTCTCAGTTCTGCAGAAGCTATTCTGATCAATCTAAATATTGGAGGAAGATGTAAAGATGCTTCCTCTTCGCCCAAACTCCAACAACCAGCACGAAAACTTAAGGTCCATCACGTTGCCTCCTTTGTTTTACCCGAACAAACCAACCGACCCCGGCACCCCGTCTCCCCAAACCACAAACAACAAATGGTGTTGATTCCTCTGTTTTGCTGTCTCCTGTTCAATCTCCGATTTTGTTATACGCCCAGTACTCCAAGTTGCTTCTTCTATATTTCGTCATTCCCTATATTCGTCGTTCCTTACTTTTGGTACTCTTGCTGCTTCCCTCTTCCAAGTAGTTTTTCCGTTAACTGGAATTTCTTGTTTCGCCACTATATTATAGGATGCGTCTGTCGAGCACCTTGAATGTCAGCTGAAGTCATGGTACAGAGGGGTACATAGTCACATTCATGAAATGAGCATAGGAAAGAGCTAAATTAACATATATTAGACGAGCGCATCAATAAAGAAATTCCAAGTTCTTAGTCATCAGCCTGAAAAGCATTTGAATGATGTTTGCTACACTGCGTGTAAATTCTGCTTTTAATACACACATGTGCGACTCAGAAGCATTTACGTGCAAACTATGCTGAAGATAAGGAACTTGAGAAAAATCCAGGAGGTCACCAGGAAATATTACTCAACATTTTCTTGGGACAATAGATACAATGAGGCAACGTGAAGACTATCCAACTCTAAATTCCCAGCCGAACTGTATCTGTATGCAGTGACTCACCAATTAACGTCACTACCATCCATATAATCTGCTTCCTTCACTTCTGGAAGAAGTACCTTTCCAGCAGAACACATGCCACAAGGGCAACAAAGAAGCATGAATTGACCATCCAGACCATCAAGGAATCAAGGCATCAACTACCTGTCCAACAGAACCCACTACAAGGGCACCAAAGAAGCACTAATTAATTATCCAGACTAACAAGACACAGTTTAGACATTAAGAAAAGCAAAATAAAACAAATACATAGACGGTAAGTTCCATAATTGAACCTTCATTTCAGTGGTGGAAGGATGAGGTTTTCCAATTTAGTACAGCGAGGCGCTAATAAAGGTATGGAGGAAACAGTACTGAGCTTATTCCAAGAAAACCCACATTTTGGTCCCCTTGAATTCTGAAAATGCTAATTTTACTGTCTCCAATCAGGAACTTCCATGCTTCACTTCAAAAACTTTTATCTAAAAATGTCAATATTCGTTCTACTAGATGCATTCTGTCACTGTACAATCCTTCTTGTGCATGAAAATGTCACTATTCATTTTTGATTGTCTAGCAATGCCTTGTAGAGCAATGTATACATCACCAGCTACAGAAGGTAATGAAGTTTCAGCAAGAAATTCATGAACAACACCATTTACTTCAACCAACTACACCCAGGTTTTTTCTTTATTTTCTGATCCTTCATCATCCTCTCCATCCTTGAAGCAGCTTGCCACATTTTTTTAGAGCGATACAAGTTCCAAAGGAGCACGCATACACCATCATCATCAGGCTCCAGTTCAAGTACCTCTTTCGCTGCCATTTCAGCCAAAGCCGAATTATTATGTCCTAAACAAGAACTGAGAAATGATCTCCACATAATAGCATCTGGCTTGAAGGGCATGTCCTGAATCAATCCAACAGCTTCTTCAAGCAATCCTGCTCGACCAAGAAGATCTACCATACACCCATAATGTTCCATCATGGGTTCAAATCTAGGAGAATTTTTCAATCTTTCAAAGAAGTTCAGTCCCTCACCAACCAATCCTGCATGGTTACAAGCTGAAAGTACAGAAAGAAACGTAATCTCATTGGGGTGCATCCCAGATGCCACCATCTCATCGAAAAAATCAAGTGCATCCTTACCTCTACCATGAATTGCCAACCCTGAAATTATACTTGTCCACGAAAACAAATCCCTATCTACCATCCTAATGAATATATTCTCAGCTGAATCAAGGTTTCCATTTTTTGCGTACATATCAATTAATCCATTATTTACAGCAACATCCATGCTAAAACCAGCTATCTTGTTAACATACCCATGAATAGACCTCCCAAAATCCAGAGCTCCAACATCAGCACAACCTGAGAGCACGGCAACAATAGTAATAGTAGTAGCATTCTCTCTACCTCCATCCCTCATTCTCCTAAACAACTGCAACGCCTCAATGGAATTTTTCACACGTACATAGCCAACTATCATCGCCGTCCAAGAAACCACATTCCTCTGCGGCATATCATCAAAAACCTGACGTCCAGCTTCAATATCACCACAAAAAATAAACCCTTAAGCAAGCTAGTCCAAGTAGCCACGTCTCTGCATTGCACACTCTCAAACACACGTCTAGCCAAATGGGTTCTTCCACCCCGACTATACATATCAATCAGAGCATTACTCACAATTGTTTCCGGTTCAGACAATTGTCTATACACCATGGCATGCATTGCTTTACCAGCATCCAAATTTTGCGTCCGCGCGCAAGCAGACAGCGCAGCCAAGACGGAGTGCGCATCAGGTCTGAGGGAAGTAGAGACCAACAAGTGAGAGAAAAGAGATAACGCCTCGGTGGGTTGTTGAGTTTTCAGGTACAGATTGAATAGAGAAGTCCAGGAGACAATGTCTGGGTCAGGAATTAGAGCAAACACCCTGTGGGCTTCGAGGGGTTTGTTTAGTTTTGTATAAACGTTTAGTAACTTGCAGGCGAAGTGTTGATGTTTCGAGTTTGAGCGCAGAAGCCAAGGGTGGTCCAGTGAGCGTGGATTTGCTTGATCAAATTCTCGTGGCCTTCGCATTTGTCTAGTAGATTTTTAAGGCCTGTTATCAGAAGTTTTCTGTTGCCATGAGTCATCTATAGATTTCAAGGACACTGGAAGATGAGCCGAGCTACAAGTGAAATAATATAGACAGCTTTTCCCCGCAGACTTAGTTCTGCTGCGTAATGATCTTCCAGTGTTACTCTACCGTACGTTGTTTCTAAACCAGTAAACAGAGCCCCATTGTTGTATAATTACTGAAGACAAACATCCAGTATCCAACCAAATATCCAGGGCATAAACTCGATAAAAAATCAATTGCGGCTTCGAGCTTTTACACCATTTCTGCGGGCAAGAAGCATCCATATTTTGCTGGTAGGTTGGGCATGACCCAATGCCGATAATGCATGCATTCGAGCATTCGAGATGCAAATTCTAAGGACAGAGGAGGAGTGAATGACGCACCCAATTATCCATTTAAAAATAATTACACATTCAAATTCAATTTATTTTTAGTGAGTATTAGGAGGATAAATTTAAATTTCTTACTAATTTAATCACAATAAAATGTCCTTATTTCTTGTCTCACAACATATGAAAAATTTAAAAAGCAAAAATAAAATTTCAAATAATTAAATAATTAAATATACCATACCCATTATTCACAAATGGATATAAATGAATTGATTCATTTATTCATAAATGAGTTAACTCAATTATACCCACAATCTAATTATTTTTTTCCCCAAAAACCGTAATATATTCATTATTCAATTATGATTTGCCAAAATCTACCCGAATCACCCATTTTAACACCTATAACTTATCCCAAGTACTTTTGCGGCATAGAATTGCTGTTTATCTTCCTAATAGGGAATTGGGACAAAAATACTTGACATATATAAGAAGATTTAAGCCATGGACAAGTAATTTTCAAACATCAGATATGTACATACACGGAAGCATAAACAAACAACTGTTCAAAGAAAGAAAAAAGAACAGAAAAGGGGCAGGTACTCCGTTTCTAATTAAGGTAACAACATTTGAACAAGTTTTAACTCGCTGCTAATTGTACAATCTCAGAACAACAATAACCAATTTTGTTAAATTCGGATCGGATAGCCACTCGGCTAAACTGCTGGATCAGCGTCAACTGATCAGATCGGTCGGACCGTTCTAAAAAACAGGCTGATATTAGCATGATGTCATAATTATTTTATATTTTATAAGTTTCAGAAATATTAAAATTAAGTTTTTGGTTATATTCAGCCAATCATACAAAATGTTACAAAAATATTAGACTTGTAATCAAATATACACTTAATAATTATATATAAAAATGTAAATTCATGACTAAAATATGTCCATTTTTCAAAATTACTTGAAAAACTAAATTAAAATAATTTAATGCACGTTAGAATCACTAATGCAGATTGATAAGATAATAGGGATGAAACATCTTGATTTAGGTGGTGTTTGGTTCATTCTTTGGAATCAAATTCGGATTTTGAATCATTCATCCTGGATTTAGAATGGAATCAGTCATTCCAATACATCTGTTTGGTTCAGTAACAGAAATGTATATCATTACTGTAATTGATGTTTGGTTCATTGACTCTTTCAAAATGAGATATAATAAATTTCTACTAATTAATTGTATTAGTATAAATATATTAGTAAATTTAGTATAACTAATTAACAATTTTTGTTAGTAAACATGTATAATTAATAATATAATTGATAATATCAATTATATTATATATACTTATATACATTATGTAATACATATAACTAATAATATCATTATTATAAATTTGTAACTAATTAAATTAAATATAATATATATTATAATATATATAATATAAAATTAATAATAATTATGCCATATATTATATAATTAAAATACATATTAGATATTAAATATAATTATAAATATTATTAAATACACATATACTATAATTATAATAATAATAATTATTATTATATTATTATAGATACATATATATTATAATTATATACACATATAATATATATTTATAAATAGTATAAATATATTATTATATAATATTATATATATTATAAATATATATTTATAATATTATAATATATTTATAGATATATATTAGTATAATATTAATATATGTATAATATATATTATATAATTATAATTATATTGATAATATATATGTGTATATAATAATTATAAATCTATTATATAATTATACTAATATTATAATAAAATTTATTTTTATAATTAAATATTATAATTATAATATATAGCATATATCTACCTACTAGATAAGAGAACAACTTGAGTTGTCCATTGAATGCCAAGTGTCAAGCTCTTATTGGAGGAAGGAACTTTTTTTATTCATTTGGATCTTAAAGAATGGTAAATGTCTATTTGGGACTTGATCTTACAATTGAGAATTCCAATAGTAGCTTACTATTTAAGGGTCAATTGTAATAATGGATTGAATACATTTATTTTTTAACTTTGTTTGTGTTTTAATAAGTGTTAAAAGTCAGTTGCGTCCTTTTGTGAAAGGTGGTTGTTTGAATAGTTACTAACTATTTAGGGCTATTTTTGTATGTTTGAAAATATTTCCTTCTTATTTTTCTGTTTCGATGCAAATCGTTTGATACTGTTTGTCGATTGATCTAAACATATGGGACAGTTTTAGGCCTCTCACTAAAAGTTTCTTCTTCTCCGTTTCTTCCGCTCGGATAGCCGAATATGAACCTGCAAAAAATGCCATTGTTCTACCAATTTTCTGAACAAAGCATTGTACTTTCTCTTGGTTAGAACCACCAAAACCCTCCACATGCTCGTGATTGCATTTGCCCAAGAATTCAGCTTCTTTTAGAGATTGTACTTGGTTTGAATTTACCAGCGAATTCTTCCTTTTTTCCTGCTACGAAGTGATGTTTTCTTTTAGAAAAACAATTTTTAATGATCTATGGTACGGTTTCTAAAACCTACCATGTATACAAAAGGGAGAAGGGAAAGGAGAAACCCTTTAGATGTTGGTTCTTTCTTTCATCATGTTGAGCAAAGGATGAAAAACTTAGGTACGATTATGATTTTGCCTTTTTTACTGTTAACTGTGATTTTTGCTTCAGATATCTTTCATATCTATTTGATTCAGAGAAAAACAGCTTGGCTTCAAGCAACTGGGAAACTTGCCTTTGGATACGCTAAATACAGGAATAGTGAATGCAAACATTGATTGGATTATCTGTTGTCCTTCTTGCAAGCAACAAAAGTGAGGTTGATATGAGGTAAAGTTACCAATTCATGCTCTTTAATTACAATTTAATCCTCTTTCTACATTTAAATTGATGTTAATTTCTGTTGTTGAATTTGAGGGCTCGAATTCCCATCATATTAACTGATGATTCGGGAACAATCAATTGCACTATATCTTGAGAAGGTGCAGAAAAAATGATTCTATTCACTTCACTTCAGCATAAACTGGCACAAGAAAGTGTAAGTGATATATCTTTCTATTTTATATCCATGCATAACAAAAAAGTTAACAACAGCTGACTACAACTCAAAAAATAATTTTTCCTGCAGCACTTTGAAGTAGACACTGAACTTAATGGTTCCTTGAAGAAATATATAATTGTCTACTTTCTCAAGGCTTATGAGACTCACTTTTAAGACCAGGGACAAATTAAACTATTGTGTCCAAAGCTTACACTGCAGATGATCTGTTACTGTAACATTTTCAGATCGCACCGAAGTTTCTTCTGCAGTGGCGCACTTCCTCACCAATATATCAAAAAAAAAAAAAAACAACAACAAACAAAGGAAGAAAAGTTCACACCAACCACTAAGTTGGTGCTTGAAGAAATTGCTGGAGGCAATTTTTTCCACGAAAAATGATGCATATGGGAGCAGTGGAGTAAATAGTAGCCTTGATTTTCCAAAAGGGCTACCTGAAAATGAAGCTACACCAGTAGAAACACTATCCAAAGAGCCATCCAATATTTCTGAGCAGTGTACCAAAGAAGGTCCAGAAGATAGCAATCCGCCTGAGAATATTGAAGATAAGTCCAGCAAAGAAGCTTAAGGGCAAGTAGGCCTAAACTGCTTTAATTATGTTACTTTTATTAAATCTCTTTGTTAGCTGATTAGGTCCATTGCTTTGATACTTTCTTTGAAACTGCTTCAGTCCTTGACAAATAAGGGATCATGAGATAGCTAATAATAGTTTAGTTTGTTATCTTACACCTGCATAGATCATGAAACTTAATTGCAAGTGCTAATATGTATGAAGATCCAGTCTTAAAGCACATGTGCTGTCAAAGTGAATGATTTTGTTTATATAATCTTTTGCCACTGTTTTAAATGTTATTTACCTCTTTGTCTTTTAAACACAATTAGCATATCAAATCCACAGATATATTATCAACATCCACAAAATTATCTGGATTTTGCATAGGACAAAATGGAGGACAAAATGAACAGCGAAAATTATTAGTGGATAGGCCAAGCGTGTAGCACGGCCAAATCCAAGCTAGTAATCATATATATAATGGCGGCTAAGAGGGACTATTTCTAGATAAGGAAAAAAATTGCCCCGCGAGACCTGTGCCCCAATTGTCATCCTTAATTTTCAATACATTAGATAGGAATCAAATTTGGATTTTATCCAAAACCCTTTGGATTATTAGGGAATTGGGAAACTCTAAATTTTTAGATATGATTTTAAAATGTCAATTTTTCGATAATAATAATCCAAATAACAATTATAAAATTTATTCCAATTTTTCATTCCAAAACCCTCTTACCAAACACCACCTTAAAATTATTCAGAAAAGTGAATAATTTGATATTTACACAAAATGAATGACATTTTCATACTCATATTAGTAAATGAAAATGTTATAATTTAAGTAATTCAAATTATGTTTGAGAGAAACAAGAAAGAAAAATTTGAAAACCAAATCAACCCATCGATCGGACCACGGGTTTAGGCAATTTTTGATGATTTTCACTAATTTTTGACAATCAACTCAAAAAGAAAGTTGATTTCACGATTGAACCGGTCAGTTCGGTTTCGGTCCGGATCTAACAACACCGGCCAATAACAGCACTTTAGCAATGTAATATTTATTTATGGTTCACATGAGCCCCATACAAGATAATTATTTCTTTATTACGAAATTACACAAATAGCTTAACATGAGTTACAACCTCTTCACAATATATTACACCATTCTGCCCCTTTACCGAAAAGACGAGCCTAAATTCATCCCAACCAACCAGACAAAAACCATGTTTGTACTAGTTATTTGACGACATCCAGAAGTTCACAATGTGGAAGACGCTGAAAACAAGCATTAAGGTGCCAAATTCAAGCCAGAGCACACATTAAGCATTGATTAATATAAAGTAATAAACTAATGTTCCCAGAACATTACGCCCTACTCCACATTCACTCGCACAACCTTTTTCCTCCTCCCTTCTCCATCTGCGTTCTGCTGCTCCAGCGTCTCCAAAGTACTCTATAGATGGAGGAGCCAACCACCCCAGCCGCTCCATGTTGGAAATCCATCCCATCCAATCAAGTTAGCTCTGCGCATTCATTAAACAGGAAATTTCAGCCTATTCATGCAATGAACAGTACCAATCACACTGAACATCTCTGGATCAATGAACCTCCCAAAATTTGATTGTCTCAAAGCATGGAATGAGTCCCCGTCATCTGCCAAATAAATGGACATCTTTGGAACATACAAGTGCTTGAGGGAAAAAAAAATCAAGTGCAACATAAAAGTATGAACTAAGACAAACACTCTAGAAGTAAACTCAATTGACAGAGGAGTGAATGAAATGATACAGAAATCTCATAAACTTAGTAATCAAAGATAAAAACCAAATGAACAATGGAACGGATGAGAATATCATGAAAGCAAGAAATGAAATTTACAATTAAGCACTTCCAGATTTCGATGTGCATAATTGAATATCTAGAAATTACCAAAGTTTATGAGATCATCTGATAGCACAAGATATGACAATGACCAGCTTTAATCAAGATGATTGCATTGTGATATGTTAAAGCTACAACAAACAGAACAAACTCAACTAGACAAGCAATAACTTACCTGAATTCTCAAGCTTATTGAACCCACTGCTCCATCCTGGTAAATGCTTGTCAGCATTATTTTTCCAATTTTCTTCAAAACCTTTAAGCTCGTCTGATGAAAGGGAAAAAAAATTAAAAGCAGCAAAATAATTTGAGGGCAATGAAGAAGTTTAAGATAACAAGCCCTTGGAGAGGAAACAAACCTTCATGCAAGTTATGTAAAGTCTGCAATGAATCCGCTCTACCATCTGAACTGTTCTTTTTTGTGACCGAATGACCCTGCACAAGCAGAATTAAATAATGCAGACACATTTAAGACACCTGCCATTCATTGGCATATAACATACACTTAAAAAAGACACATTGCTAAAGATAAAGGTACATTGCTAGACATTCAGACACTAGTATTAGAGAAATTTTTGCACATTTAACAAGAAAGAATTTGTTATGGTAAACTTGAACTCGAAGAATAGCCAGGAACTGTTGCTGAACTCTTGTTAGGAATTGCCCATTATGATTTAATGGATTCACGTCATCTCATTCTAAGAGGCAGATAGAAGACTACAATGACCATACCTTATCATGGATTCCCTTTGAAATTGTGTGCAGTGATTCACCAACTATCTTATCCTCTTCCTTCATTTCCGCAAGAAACACCTACAACACCACCAAAGACATCATAAGAAGGATGACAATGACCATCAAAAGCAAAAAAAAAAAAAATTAGACATATCCAGTCAAGTATTACTGACCCATCGCCACCATTCATCCTGCCTTCAGAGCAAGTATAGTACATTCCATCCTGATCACCATATGCAACCCTTCGATAACTAAAAGAACTTCCACTACCTATTAAGTACGTCACGCCATTTTCACAAACAAGGAAATGCAGTCAACACTTGAACAACAAAACAGGCGTAATAACTGAGACATGCTAATTTAATGTTTTACCATTCGCATGATAATTTGGATTCCCAACGCTCAGTTCTTTGCCAGCATTTGAAATGTTTGCACCATCATCATCATCATCAGGATTTATTTCCTCAATACTAATTTGCTTCCGCGAAGCAGGAGGATAACCAAAGGGCTAGCGAAAAACGGGTCAGCAAATGGATTCTTCCCACCAAAGAAGCCACCAAATGGCTCAGAGAAAAAGGGTCATCAAATGGATCTTTTCCTCCGAATAGTTTTGACATTCTTGTCGGCAATTGAACAAAAGCTAGTCGCCTGACAAGCTTAAGAAAACAGAGCAAAGCAGAAACTCATAAAAATCTGATCTTTAAACACAAAATAACAATTGCTCACCAATGAACATATAACCAAACTATCGCTTGTTAACTTAAATCAATTCTCAATTTGTTATCTGCAAAATAAATTGACGCAAAAGATTTAGATTTTGTTTGTTGGAAACCACTTGTGTGCAATAAAAGACATCCACCATTTTTCAAACAAGCTAGAGTAGAGCATTTGATCCCTCTGTGCCTGAACTGCACGTCATACTCAGGGAAAGCAAAAAAAAATTCAAAAATGCAAAGTCTTTTACATTTTGAAAGCGTAAATCCTTTTTGTATTCGTACAAGATAGAAACTCCACCAAAATTAGGAACCAAAAACAACATTTTATATCATCAATGGGTGTAGTTTCTAACCCTCACAGGATACTGTTCATGATAAAAGAAACCCATAATTTAATTCTGCAAAAGCAGCTGATTTTCATGAACTAATCACTGGAATTCAAAAGGGGGGAAAATCTAACAATAACCGTTTTGGAGATTAATGAAGAGAACCCAATGGAGAAAATAGTAGTTTAGGACAAAGTACGGCCAGAAGAATGCAAAAACGTAATAAACAACTCGACTCGGAATGCAGAATAGAAGAAGGAGCGACGGCACCTCTACTCAGAGCGCAGAGGAAGTTTTTTCTTCAGGAGAGTGATTATAGTGAGAAACAGATTGCTCTTAGCCATTTTATAGGAACAGAAAACTGGGGATGAAGCTTCGAGACTCGAGAGGACCGTGAAACAAAACCAACAAGGTTATTTACAATTCGCCCCCTTGATTAAAATTTGTGTACGATTTCACCCTCGTGCACTTTTTGTCAAGTCAAATTTTACTTTAATTTATACCATTGAACCCATTTTACCTTGATTTAATTGGGGGCATTATCATATGCGATTCAAGCCAACATTCCCCTCAACTATCACATATTTTTGGCCAAATGAAGGCTTGCACCCGACGAAATTCTACATTCATGTTTATTGCCTCAAATTTTAATGGAGAAGTTATTTAGCACATATATTAATTCCTTATACTCTCCATAGGCTACTGTCAACTTAATTTAACACATGCTACTCCTTGTGTCTGTTCCGTTGTGAGATTGTCGGAAAGAGAAATCTTAATTGTCTAATCCTCATCATCAACTAATTCTCCGTTGTATCAATTCCTGATTATTTCTGTGGTGTTGTAGCTAGAGAGTTTAGTGGAGATTGATGGCTTCCACTTCGAGTTGGAGTTCCATATGTCGGCGCCTTGATTCTGCCATGAAGAAGCTCCGTGGTTGGAGGCATGGAGCAAGGGGACATGGCCTTGGCCGTCCAACTGCCTTAAACCCCGACCATATCATTGATCAACTTGAAACTTGGAGGCTGCTGGCAACCTTTCTTATTCACCTTCGACGGTGCAGTGATGCAGACAACGTTGTCAGTAACTTCGGATTTCTCGTCAGCATAACTGAAGCTGTATCAGATAACTTGGCCAACGACTTTGGCGGTGTTCTTGTTTCTGATCAAACATTGAACGGTTGTCTAGGAGTGGTTGATGTACTCTGCAAATGGGAGAGAACAATTGGGCTTTTCAGGGAACCAGTCGGACAAGTTCTTGATGATCTCTCGGGCAGCTGCACCTTGGGATTGCTGTCTCCTGCTCTTCATTCTTATTCTATTTGGATATACTTCTTGCGATTTATTCCAAGGATTCTGTCGCATACCTGTGCACAGGTGCAGGCTCAGGCTCAGGCTCAGGCGCGGACGCAAGTTGATTACCAAATCAAACAAATCCATGCCCTCAGAAACAGAGTTGAAAAATTATTCGTTCAGGTAAAGGATTTCCAATTTGGCTTCCATATCAGTGATGGTGTTGTTCAGGAAGATATTCAGAACTTCTTCACTCATGTTGGAATTACGGCCCTAAGGATAGCAATTCAGGCTTTAATTTATTTGGTTAGAATGGGATCAATAACTACAGTAACTAATAATCTTATGGATCTGAAACATGATATTGATCCCACTACTCCAGCGTTCTTAGACTTGAATCTCTCATTCTTGAGAGCTGTCAAAAATTCCATGCCTGACCGTGCAATGTGCTCGACCATGTTCTTTATCCATTATCTCTTAGGTGACAGCAAGTTATATGGTCTCAAGTCCCTGGTAAACTTTGTTGTTCAGATTAGACAAAAGCATACATATCACATATTTCTTCACATTTTGCCAGTGCTCAGCAAGAAGTACACAATTCTTAAGTATAACCACAGTTATTCTGATTTGAAGCAAGCAAATAATAAGAGGTCCCACTATTTATGTGGCTGTGAAACCTTGAATTATGGGCCATTTGCATTCGCAATTGCAATATAGAGTCTTAATATGCAGTAATTTTTGTCATTTGCCTGGTTGGAAAAGTAAAATAACATTGAGTAGTGCAGACTATGTCTATTCTTTCTACTTTCATTGTTCTTGCAAATGCAGGAACTGCTATCAACTAGTTTAGTAAAATGTGACGATAAGCCAGACCAGCATGAGCAAAGGTGTCCCAAATGCTAGGAGTCCTTCCATCTTCAAATACAGCACCCTCAACCTGAGATCATTAGTATAATCACAATTAAAATCACAATGCAAGCAGCCAAATCAACCCAAAATCAAAGAGACTATGAAAGTCAATTGGCCTGGCCGCTGTTGAGGAGAGTTTTCAGCATAGGCAGCCAAGAATATTGGCAGTAACAAGAATATGACACAGATTTCGACATTGGCTTTCAGATGAAGTAACATAAACGTCGTACCAATGTGGCGAAGCGAAGGGCAGACCTGATAGGCAGAAGAGCCGGCACCGAAAACGAAGTCAGCTGGGAGGTCGGCCGAGTAAAATCTCTCAACAGCCCAGAAGATGTGACCCCAGAAAAACCAGGGCAAGAATTATAGTACCAGAAGAAGAGCAGAAGCGCAGCGGACGCAGCTGCAGCAGCATCATTAGTTATCCGGTTGCAGCAGTACTACTGCTGCCTCCGCTTTCTTCTTCAAACTTCCATACGTTGGTTTCTTTTATTGTATTTGAGGATGCTCACCTCGGCCATCCCGAGTGGCCGAGGTGGACTCACCTCGTCCCTCATCGGAGTTCATCCGTGTCCCGGACATCATCCCTGAGCTCGGCTCGGCCGTTTCCATAGCATACTGTGTAGCCGACCTCGGCACCCCCCCCTCAGCTGCACGCTGATGATGTCAACCCACCTGACATCATCCAGGACCAGCACTTTATCTGAAAAGCACTGGAGGCACTTAATGGCACCTGCCACCATATCCTCCGTCATCACTCCCAGGCGGCTACAGTGTCAGAGTCAGACCTCCTGACAGGAGACAGAGCCGTAACCAGAGAGTGGTCCCGCTAGCATGAGCCTTCCGTCTTGACCACCTCTCTTCTATAAATACCCCAGACACACTCCCAACAAGTAAGCATACACTGTTCATTAACTCATTCTCATTATTCTGGTTCTCATACTAACTTGATCGTCGGAGTGATACCAGGGGAGAAGCCCCGCCACACACTTCGGACGAGGAGGTTCACTTCGAAACACAGGAGTTCACCTCACTTCATCTCAGAGAGGACTGATCCAGGTCGGTCTATTACCAACCAAAAATCACCTCCTCAATTGCGCCGTCTGTGGAACGAGACTACTATTGCTAAAATGAGATCCACGCGCTCCAGAAGTGGTCGAGTTCCCTCAACTGGGCTGGGCAGACCTCGGAGCCCAGCAAGATCGCATCTCTGAAGAGCAAGGGTCCCCAAGGACCCAGCCTAACAACGAGGAGGCCATCGCCAAGATGGCGAGTTCGTATCACACAACCCAACCATTTTTGAGGAGCTAGGAAGGTACCTCAAAAGACAGGGGAAAGAAAAGGCCGAGTCTTCCAAGAGGAGGCCGACGAAGTCCCCTGAGGCACCTTCAGGTGAAGACTCCGATGAGGCCGTCTCTCACGGAGTACCTCCAGGCGCGCCTCCTCCAAGGCGACTTCTAAGCTAACTTCCATCTCCCGGGCGTTTTCCCGGGACTGCTAGGAAAGCGAGTTGAGGACCCACCTCGGCGCCCCGGGGGTCTGGCTTCGACTACATGAGGGCTCCGCCCTTCACAGATGACATCAATGGGGAAAGGGTGCCCCCGAACTTCAAGCTTCCAAACTTGCACACCTATGACGGCCGAGGTGACCCCGAGGATCACCTCCGCCCTTCATCTCCGCATTCCGACTCTACTGCGTCCCCGACCGCCTGATTTGTCGGCTTTCCCCATTTTCTACATGGGACTGCCCGGAAGTGGTTCTGGAGTTTGGAACCAGGGAGCATTTCCTCCCTGGATGAGCTGATAGACCGGTTCATCCACCGCTTCGTGTCGTCTCGACCAATCACGAAGACTTCAGCTTATCTCTTGAACCTTCAACAGGGTCAGGGCGAGTCTCTTCGCTCGTATGCTCAGAGGTTCAACGAGGAGAATGTGCAAATACCTGATCAGAACGAGCAGGTAACTCTCGCGGCCTTTACCAACGGGTTGGTGGCCGGACTCTTCAACACCGAAATCCATCGGGATTACCCTCGTACACTTCACGAACTCTGGGAAAGAGTGGACCAGGGAATCCGAAGTGAAGATGTGAATCGCATGAAGCGAGAAGCCCAAGCCTCTCGTACGGGACAAGATGCCCGGAGAAGGAAAGACATCGGCCGAGGTGAACCCGGCCCAAGTGGCACTTCAAACCCACCACGGGACCGCCGGAGTGTCTTTGACCGGATCGTGAAAGGAAGATCTTCCACCTCGGACGCTGAGCTAACACCGCTCAATTCCAGCCGATCTCATGTCTTGGCTGTGATGAGGCAGAACCACCTCGGCCGAACACCTCCTGAGATCCCTGGAAGAAGAGATAGGAGGAACTCCAGCCTCTACTGTGCCTACCATCGAGATGTTGGGCACGAGACCGAAGACTGCAACGATCTGAAACGAGAGATCGAAAATCTAATTCGGCAAGGACACTTGAAACAATTTGTCCGCAAAGATGGAAGCTTCGGACGAAGTGCCTCCCACCGGGAGAGCCGAGGTCCTCGCCGAGAAGACAGGCGGGACACCAAGTTCAACTGCCGAGGTCCTGAGGACCAGAAAGGGGACCAAAGGCCTCCACGCGACGGGTCACCAGGCTATGGTCCAAACATTGCCGGGGTGATCAACACCATCTCAGGTGGTCCCACGGGAGGAGACAGCCAGAGCTCCCGAAAGCGGACCTACCGCCAAGCCGGCATGGATGTGGCCGAGCCGAGCTCGAGGCTGTCCGAGGTCATAACTTATGGTCCCCGCGACCCTGTCCCCGCTGCCTCCAGCAATCACGAGGCCCTCGTGATTGAGGTCCTCACAAACAATTATATAGTCAAGAAGGTCTACGTTGACCCCGGAAGCTCGGTAGACGTCCTGTACTACCGAACTTTCGAGAGTTTGAAGCTAACCGGGAACAACTCACTCCGGTCAGAACTCCCCTTGTCGGCTTCGGGGGACACGTCGTCCACCCGGAAGGCATGGTGAATTTAATGGTGACTATCGGGCGTCATCCCCGTTGCCGAACTGTGCCTGTCAGCTTTGCGGTGGTCAAAGCGGACTCTCCTTACAACATGCTGATAGGCCGGCCCACGCTCAATGCCTTGAGAGCCGTATATTCTACCTACCACCTAAGCTTCAAATTTCCAACACCAGAGGGGGTGGCTGAGGTGAGCAGTGACGTGGGCGCCGCCCGAGAATGCTACCTCGCCACCATCCAAGCCGCAGTCGGACCTCAGCCCCCGCCGAGGTCAGAAGAAAAGAGGCCGGCTGTCCTCTCCATAGACTGCATCGACCCTCACAAGGCAGGAGAGCCCAGCAGGCTTGAGCCAGGGGATGAAGTGGAACAAGTGGTCTTGGATGAAGCCAAGCCTGACCGAGTGGTCCAAGTAGGGGCCGGACTCCCTTCACCCCTGAAAGAAGAAGTGATCTCCCTGATCAAGGACCACCGAGACATCTTTGCGTGGTCCGCAGATGAAGTGGTCGGAGTGCCACCCGAGCTTATGACTCACCAACTTAACGTTAACCCACAGGCCCGACCTGTGCGGCAGAAGCGAAGACACTTCGGCCCCGAACGCAGCAAGGCCATATCGGACGAGGTCGACAAGCTCTTGCCGGCCAAGATGATCCACGAAGTCCAATATCCGACTTGGTTGTCCAACCCAGTCATGGTCAGAAAGGACACCGGCGGATGGAGAATGTGTGTAGACTACACCGACCTCAACAAGGCCTGTCCCAAAGACTGCTATCCCCTCCCGAGGATAGACACCCTCGTCGACTCGGCGATGGGGTACGAGATCCTGTGCTTCCTAGATGCCTTCAAAGGGTATCATCAAATAGGAATGAGTGAAGAGGACCAAGAGAAGACGGCGTTCTACACCGATCGAGGTGTTTATTGCTACACCACCATGCCGTTTGGGCTGAAGAACGCCGGGGCGACCTACCAAAGGCTGATCAACCGGCTCTTCAAGAATCAGATCGGCCGTAATGTGGAGGCTTACGTGGATGACATCCTCGTCAAAAGTCTCGCCACTTCATCCTTCCTGTTAGACTTGAGGGAAGTCTTCGGGGTCCTGCGAGACTCGAGGATGAAGCTGAATCCCAAGAAGTGCGTCTTCGGCGTCACCTCGGGAAAATTCTTGGGGTATCTGGTTTCCCATCGGGGGATCGAGGCCAACCCCGACAAAGTCAAGGCCATCCAAGATATGTCCCCACCTCGGAACCTCCGAGAAGTCCAAAGACTGAATGGACGCCTGGCCGCACTGAACCGCTTTTTGTCTCAATCTGCTGAGAAGGCCCTGCCCTTCTTTAAAGTGCTGAAGAAGTCTGATCAGTTCGCCTGGACTGAGGAGTGTCAGTCTGCCTTCGACCAGCTGAAGCAGTACTTGCACCACCTGCCCACTCTCGCTTCACCTCGGCCCGAGGAGAAGCTCTACCTCTACCTCTCTGCAGCCGACGAGGCTGTCAGCGCTGTGCTCATCCGAGATGAGGGCACCCAAGTGCCGATCTACTACGTCAGCCGCGCTCTTCGCGGGCCGGAGACTCGATACACTCAGGTGGAGAAACTGGTGCTGGGACTAGTCCATGCCGCTCGGCGGTTGAAGCCCTATTTCTTAGCCCATCCTATCTCGGTCAGGACTGACCAGCCCGTTCGGCAAATATTGGTGCGACCCGAAGCTTCTGGTCGCCTCACCAAGTGGGCTGTCGAATTGGGAGAATATGACTTGTCCTACGAGCCACGCACCGCCATAAAAGCTCAAGCTTTGGCTGACTTCCTTGCCGAGCTCACCTTCACGGAAGGTCCGGAGTCCACCTCAGCCTTAGCCGAGGTGTCCTCCTCACCCCAGTGGACATTGTATGTCGATGGATCCTCCAACGGAGAAGGCAGCGGAGCCGGACTTCTCCTGGAAGGACCTCAGGGAGAGGTGTGCTCCTACGCCCTCCGCTTTGGCTTCCCAGCCACCAATAATGAAGCCGAGTACGAGGCCTTAATTGCTGGACTCCAGTTGGCCCGAAGGCTCGGCGCCCAGCAAGTCCACGTCCGCAGTGACTCCCAACTTGTTGTGCGCCAAGTTCTTGGTGAATACGAGGCTAAGGATGAGACCATGCAAAGGTACCTCTCCAAAGTTCACCAACTCACCGCATACTTCAAGTCATTCGAAATCCAAAGAATCCCCCGGTCCCAGAATAAGCGAGCCGACGCCCTATCCCGGCTGGCCTCCACTTCATTCTCGGACCTCAACAAGACGGTCTTAGTGGAAGTTCTGAATGAACCAGGATATGTGGAAGAGGTGGCCTGCCCCGTCCACTCCGAAGATAATTGGATGACCCCGATCATCCTCTTCCTGAGTCAGGGAACCCTTCCCGAAGACCGAGCCGAGGCGAGGAAGATACAACGCAAGGCTGCTCGACACGCTCTCCGCGATGGAGAATTGTACAAACGCTCTTACCTCGGCCCCTGGCTGAGGTGTGTCACTCCCGAGGCCGGACGTCATATCCTCCACGAGATCCACGAAGGCCTGTGCGGAGCTCATGTCGGCCACAGGATGTTAGCCAAGAAGACTATGCTCCTTGGATACTTCTGGCCATCACTTCGGCAAGACGCCCAGGACCTCGTTCTCGGCTGTCCTTCCTGCCAAGTCCACGCACCCGAGCATCACCAGCCCTCAAATTTCATGGTCCCCATCACTTCACCTTGGCCATTCGAGCAATGGGGGACAGATATCATAGGTCCTTTCCCTAAAGCGGTCGGGGGCTATACCTTCCTGGTGACGCTGTGGACTACTTCACTAAGTGGGTCGAGGCCGAGCCACTTCGCACCATCTCGGGGCTGGCCATTCAGAAATTCTTTTGGAAATGCATTGTCTGCCGCTTCGGCATACCTCAGATCATCATCTCGGACAATGGGAGACAATTTGCCGAGAACCATTCAAGACCTGGTGCGAGAACCTCGGCATCAAACAACACTTCACTTCGGTAGGCCACCCCCAGGCCAATGGTCAAGCAGAAAACTTCAACCGGACTCTCCTGCATGGCCTCAAGACCCGACTACACCGAGCTGGGTCATCTTGGGTGGAGGAACTCCCCAGTGTCTTGTGGTCATATCGGACCACGCCGAGGTCAGCGACTCAAGAGACCCCATTCTCCCTGACCTACGGAGCCGAGCTGTCATCCCGGCTGAGATCCCCCAGCCCTCGGCTGGCAGCCTATGCCGCCGAGGTGAACGACGAAGAGAGGCTGCTGGACCTCGACCTCGTCGAAGAACGAAGGGACCTCGCCTCAGCCCGGATAGCTTCTTATAAGAACACACTGGCACACTATTACAATGCCCGGTCAGACATCGTAGATTCCGCCCTGGAGACTTGGTTCTCAGAAAAACTCAGTCAGCCGAGCTGAGCCTCAAGGAAAACTGTGCCCAAATGGGAAGGCCCTACCGAGTTGTGGAATCTGACCCTAAGGGTATTGTAAACTGAGTTACCGAGATGGCTCATTAGTGCCGAGGTCTTGGCACGCCGAGAACCTTAGGTTGTATTATGCTTGAAGTTGTGACTTCATTCAGTTATTTCATCCAATTATCTTGTCAAGTTATGACTTCAGCATTTAGTTATTTTTCAACATATGATGCCCAGCATCTTTATTAAAAAATAAGGGGGACAAACAAGGGATGAAGTCAAAGCAAGAAACAAGAATTAAAGAGCTGAGATGAAAAGAAACAGACTTTCATTCAATAGAAGTATTACAAAAATACAAGGCCGAGGTCGGAGTGCTACTAAACACTTCACCTCGGCCACCCCCTTGAAGCCTACAAGCCTAAACCCCCGTATCGGCTGCATCCCCGGTCTTGGCTCCCTCCTGGGCAGCCATCTCTTCGGCCTCCTTTCCGCCGGGGTGTTCATCTCCAGGCTCTTTGCCGATGTCCCGACTTCCCTCTCCGGCTTCGTCTCCCCCGGCATCCTCTCCAGTTTCTTCCTCTTCAACCCCTCGAACACTCGTCGATTTCGGACAGCCATTTGTTGAACTCGGCCTGGACCTCGGCAGGTTCCTTCCAGCCTGGAGGCCCTCGCCATCCGGTCGCACAACTCCTTGGAGTCCTCGTTGTAACTGGCATGATTTTTCAGGACTCCAAGGCTTCGGAGGAGATGAGCTGCAGCCTCATCTATGGCTGATGTGAAGCCAAACATGAAGTTCGGCGTGAGTAGTTGGCCGAGATCCCTGGTGAAGGCCTCAGACCTCCGAAACGTCCACGCCGAGGTTCTAGCACTGTCAAGGGCTTGCTGTGGGACTTCTTCGCCTCGTCCCCCCTCTTCTGCTCTTCTTCGAGAGCCGATCTGAGACTGTTGACAGTAGCCACGGCCTCCTCATCCTTCACCTCGGCCTCCTTAAGCCGCCTTTCAAGCTCGGCCTTCTCAGACTCGGACACCGCCAGTTGTTTCTCCAACTTGGAGATCTGATTCTGTAGCTTGCCGGTGTCCTGCTCATCGACCAGAGCACAATATCGGTGTGCCATCTCGGCCGCGAAGGCTGAGGTGGAAGCCGTGGTCACCATCAGACTTTGAACCAGCTCGGCCGGGCTCAGCTTCTTCATGAACTCCAAATCCCTTGGCAGAATGGAGTGCATTATTAGCTCTTGAGCGACCCGAGGGTGTTGGCACCTGTCGTTGACCGAAATCTTCCAGTTCGGACACCAATGATTGCCGGAGTGCGTCTTCTCGTCTCCGGAAACACTGGGGGCTATGGAAACGATTCCATAGCGAGGTCCCCGACACCGGATTAACCGAGGCTTCAGCTGCTTGCCTCGGCCAGAAGGAGGTGTGACTTTTAACAACTCCAAGGGGAACTCCCTCTGGTACAGACGAGGTGGACCCAGTAGCCGCAGTGGCCGAGCTGCTCTGGCCAGCCTTGGTGGAGTGCCTTTGGCGCCGAGTCTTAGCGGCTGGTCCTTGTGACTTCTTCTTCTTTGGCGGAGGTGCCGAGTCTCGTCAGTGCTCTTCCTCTTCTGCCTCTTGGCCACTTCGGACGAGCCGGAGACGACGAGGTCGACAGTTTAGTCACTGCACAAGAAATAAATATTATCATATGCCTTAGCCGAAGTGAAAAGAAAAGTCATGAAAGAAAATTACAAGGCTTCTCAAGTTCAGTGGAAAAGAAGGGAGCTTTGGTAGTATTGATCACGGCTCGACTTATCCCCCATCCACGAGCACGGCTTCGGGGTAGTCATGGCTGAATAGCCGAAGTCCCGACTTCATCAGCTTCTGGAAGGACTCCTCTTCGGCATCCCCCGCTGAGGGGTCGGCCTTCGCCTTAATTGGCCTCCACCAAAAACCCCTCGGAAAGTCCACTCCGGGCACGAAGAAGTAGTCGCGCTTCCAGTTCTTGATCGAGCTGGGAGCACCGATCACCAACTTCGGGATGGCATTGTTCCGGTTGCCAACATAAAACCATCCCTTATCAGTCGCGTGCGCCTTGAGGGTGTAGCATCGGCGGAAGAGATCGACGGAGGGAGTCACCTCCTGATGTCGGCACAGCATCTCAAACCCCACAATGATGCGGATCGCATTCGGGGTGAGCTGGGTGATTCTCACCTGGAAGTGACGAAGTAAGTCCCGGAGGAACCTCGACGTCGGCATCCTCAGCCCGGCCTCCAGCTGTTGAATGTAGACGGCCACCATGCCAAAGGGGGGTTCCGCGGCTGTGTCATCCACCTCGGGCGGCAAAACTTCATACCACGGCCGGAAGGGGTACTTGTCTACCACCTTCTCGGCCCTATCCCTTCCCACTCGACTCCTAAACTTCGGCATCTGGCCGAAATTGATGTTGGCTACGTCCACTGGAGCAACTGGCTCCGGCACGCCCTCGTCATGGGGTATCTCGGTCCCGAGCTCGGTATTGTACTCGACCTCGGAACCACCCTCGCTCATCTCGGACGATTCCAATCCCGAGCCTGCCTCGCCGACTCTCACTTCGGTCGATCCTTCCTCGGAACCTGTGCCGACCCCTCCGAACTGGACGTCGTCGCTTCTTCCTCAGAATCCGCCCTCACCTCGGTCTGGTAGCTCGGGGTCACGGTTTCTTTGTGGGTTTTAGCCGTTTTGGCCATATGTGAAAGACAAGACAAGAAGAAAAAGGGATACTTACTATTGTATACCGAACTGGACGAAGTGGACGACTTCGGCTGTGATCTCGGCTGGCAGGATTGATCTCGGCTACGCTCACAAATTTTGCAAGTCACAAGCGAAGAAAGAAAGTGATGGGCCATGCGGTGAAAGGGACCACCTATTTATAGAGGAGAGCCAGAATCCGAAGAGGCGGCAAGAATACGAAAAGACGATCACGATCGAATTCAAAACGTCACGCCTCCCTCTCTCCTCATTAATGCCCCGTCCTTTCGACTGACACCTTCTGCACGAAACGTCCCACTACTTCACGACGCGACGGTTATCAGTGACCACGTCCTATCAACTGACTCGTCCACGTGTCGAGTCCCCGCATCTTCCGGAGCGGTTTCGGAGCCTCGACTCTTCATGACTTCAGCACTAGGAAGCCTCGGCACCTCCCTTGCTCGGAGCATCCGAGGCTTGGGGGGCTTATTGAGGATGCTCACCTCGGCCATCCCGAGTGGCCGAGGTGGACTCACCTCGTCCCTCATCGGAGTTCATCCGTGTCCCGGACATCATCCCTGAGCTCGGGCTCGGCCGTTTCCATAGCATACTGTGTAGCCGACCTCGGCACCCCCGCCTCAGCTGCACGCTGATGATGTCAACCCACCTGACATCATCCAGGACCAGCACTTTATCTGAAAAGCACTGGAGGCACTTAATGGCACCTGCACCATATCCTCCGTCATCACTCCCAGGCGGCTACAGTGTCAGAGTCAGACCTCCTGACAGGAGACAGAGCCGTAATGCCAGAGAGTGGGTCCCGCTAGCATGAGCCTTCCGTCTTGACCACCTCTCTTCTATAAATACCCCAGACACACTCCCAACAAGTAAGCATACACTGTTCATTAACTCATTCTCATTATTCTGGTTCTCATACTAACTTGATCGTCGGAGTGATATCAGGGGAGAAGCCCCGCCACACACTTCGGACGAGGAGGTTCACTTCGAACACAGGAGTTCACCTCACTTCATCTCAGAGAGGACTGATCCAGGTCGGTCTAGTTACCAACTAAAAATCACCTCCTCAATTATACTATAAATGTGTGGCCGAGTGGTTCCGGAAGCATTGGTCGTCTACATATCGACACTGTCACTCACTATCACCGTTGAAGGATTAATTTTACTCAATGAACCGTTAGTGTCAGATGATGCCAAGAGTTAAAAAGGACTTCATTTATGTGTTAAGTGGCAAATTTTATGAAACTCCATGCCATTTATTGATTCGGAGAGAACAATTTGTTTCTTGGATTTGGACCGAAATTTTTTTTTTCAAAACTTTTGAAGTTAGTTAATTAAACCTAATCCTATATTTAACCCCAAAGGTCGGCAACTCTTGAGGCAAACCTGTGTGTTACCCTTCTTTTTCATTATTATTATTATTATTAATGGGCTTGACTATGGAGTGCCTAGTGTGGAACTCCTTAACAAGAAATATCTTGTGTTAATTTTTTCACAAAAGTGAAGTTCATTTGAAAAATATATAAATACAAGAATATAAAAATATGAATATATATATATATATATATATATATGTGTGTGTGTGTGTGTACATAAAAAATTAAATATATAATTTAAGTGTGCTAACATATCCAGTAGGTATCACAATATGTAAATAAACACCTTGCTTGGATTACAAAGAAAAAGCTCACTTTAATCACCATTCTTATCTCACAAATGGTAATTGAAATTTGAAGAGAACTCCTTTCCTACAAGAATTATTTTAAAACAATCAAACGTGAGAAGTATTTTTATTGGTCTAGTTAAATCATGTAGTAAAATAAGAAAGGATATAAACAGTAATAAATTTGTATTAGAAAATAAACAATAAGTTTTTGGGAAAAAAAAGGGATTTACTTTCAACATGGTATTTATATAAAGACATTGATTAATTTAAAGGTTATTTATGTATTATTTTTTTCAGTTCAACAAACCAAACTGAAAATACTTCACCCCCTTCCAAGGAAGGCATTTAACGTACGTGAAAATTCAATGCACGAAGTTAGCTGAATATGAAGTGTCAGCCCACAACCTATGATGAAGGGGGTGCACTGCGATGGTGCAACACCTCATGAACACATACTTATGGTAAATTATTTTTTCATTTTTATGATGGAGATGTAGTATATATATAATTTTCTTTTGTT